CTCCCGGATCTTGCTTTAAGCCATATAATGCCTTCTTTAATCTGATAACTTTATCTTCTTGTCATTGCACCACAAACCCTTGAGTTTGCTCCACATAGATTTCTTCCTTAAGATAGCCATTGAGGAATGTTGACTTCACATCTAGTTGAAAGGTTTTCCATTTCTTTTGTATAGCTAATGCAATCAATGCCCTGATTGTGTCAAGGCATGCAACTGGAGCAAATGTCTCATTGTAGTCAACACCATATTATTGTGAGTATCCTTTGGCAACTAACCTTGCTTTAAGCTTCTGGATTGAGTCATCTGAGTTAAGTGTTGTCTTATAAACCCACTTAACTCTAATAGTGTCTTTGTCTTGTGGATGATCTACAAGCTCCCAAGTCTCATTTTTCTCGATCATTTTTATCTCTTCATCCATAGCTTTTCTCTATTTTTCTTCCTTAAAAGCTTCTTCAAAGCTTTCTGGCTCCATGAGCATCAAGTTGCATGTTTCATATATTTCTGTTAAGGATTTAGTTCACCTTGGTGGTGAGTCTAGAGGAGACTCTAAAGCTTGTACCTGTTCTAATTGTGTTGTCGGTTGAGTTGGTGATCTGGTTTGATCATAGTCTTCTTCAATTTCTCACCTTGGTAATAGGGGCATGTTGATACACTTTCTTTTAACTTCTTTTGTCTCCCAATTGTATGCAGCATCCTCGTCGAATCTTATGTCTCGACTGATTATGAGTTTCATTGTTCTTAAGCTATAGACTCAATAGCCCTTTGATTGAGTGCTATAGCCTAAGAAGATTCCTTTCTCAGTCTTCTCGTCCAGTTTGCCTCTTTTCTCTTGTGGAACGTGAGTGTAGCATATGCAACCAAAAATTCTGTGATGCTTTGCTAATGGCTTTTACCCACTCCAAGCTTCAATTGGTGTCCTATCTTGCACAGCTTTAGTTGGACATCTGTTGAGCAAGTAGACAATAGTGCTTACTGCCTCTGCCCAAAAAGTTTTGGGAAGACTCTTTTCCATGAGCATGGCTCTTGCTGTCTCCATAATTGTTCTGTTTTTTCTTTCGGATACTCCATTTTGTTCTGGAGCGTATCCGACTTTGAGTTGATGCACCATGCCTTCATCTTCACAGAACTTGTTGAATTCATTAGAAGTGTATTATTTGCCTCTATCACTTCTTATTGTCTTGTTGTGACCACTTTGCTTCTCGACACGGGCTTTGAATTTCTTAAAAATATCGAAGACCTGCCATTTCTCTCGCAAAAAATAAACCCATGTCATTTTAGTATAGTCATCAATGAAGAGAATGAAGTACCTATTTTGATTATTTGATGGAGTACGCATTGGACCACAAACGTCTGTATGAATTAACTTTAGTGGCTCTTTGGCTCTCCAATCCTTGCCGAATGGAAATGGTTGTCGATGTTGCTTCCTAAGCATACACCCTTCACAAACATTGTTGAGCTCCTTGATAGCTGGTAGGTCACGCATCATGTTCTTCTACTGAAGAATCTTTAATCCATGGAGATTAAAGTGTTCGAACCTTCTATGCCATAACCACAACTCGTCCACTTGTGCTTGCATTACTATATTACTTGTGTCTCTCCATTGTATGGGAAAGCATCTATTTTCTTTCATTTTTGTTTTTGCAATTTCAAGAGATTTGTCTTGCTTGTCATAGATTGTGCAAGAGTCTCCCTCAAAATGTAAAGAGTATCATTTTTCTATCATTTGACCTATACTGAGTATATTTTGATCAATGTTGGGAACCAAGAGTACATCATTTATGTATTTCTTGCCTTGTCTGGTGTCAATAACAATGGTGCCTTTGCCAGTTGCTTCCATGAAGTCATCATTACCAATTTTGACTTTTGTCTTGATTTTATCAAGACTATAAAAAATGCTTTCATTTTTAGTCATGTGGTTACTGCACCCACTATCTAGATACCAAGTATCCTTTTTTTCTTCTATTGCAGATTGACAGACATAGAAGAGATTATTTTCTTCATTTTTCTTTTCTGAAAAATTAGCTTGATGGAATTTCTTCAAACGACAAGCTTTTTCAACATACCCGAATTTTTTACAATTTTGGCATCGTGGTTTTCCTTTAAACCATCAATCTTTCTCCAAGTGGTTTTTTCTTCTACAAATACCACATGAAGGATATTTGTCGTTATTTTCTTTTGGTTTTCCTTGTGACTTTCTCCCATCAACTTTTGATTTATGAGACCCCTAATTAACTTTAGACTAAAAGGCAATTTCAATCGAATTTTCATTTTGCCTATCTCACCTATTTTCATGTGCCTCGAGAGAGCTCATTAATTCAGTTGGTGATAGAGATTCTAGATCCTTTGTTTCTTCTATCACAGAAATTATTGCATCATATCTCTCTGTACAAGAAATTAGTATTTTTTTGACTATTTTCTTGTCAAAAATAATTTCCCCATAGGCTCTCATTTGATTTACTATTTCTTTTATTCTAGAATAGTAATCTTTTGCAGTCTCATTATCCTTCATCTTAAGATTTTCAAAATCTCTTCTAAACTTCTGCAATTTAATAGTGCGTACCTTGATAGTTCCTTGGAACTTCTCCTACAGTGTGTCCCATGCTTCTTTTGCAGTTGATGCGCCCATAATTCGAGGAAATATATCCTCAGCCATTGCTTGCTTTGCTTGCTGCAAGCAAAATAATGCTTGACAATCCTTTTGTTGATTTTCTTCATGGATCTTCTTTTGATTTGCTGAGAGAACAGAAGTATCTTCAAGAATGTTGAAACCTTCTTCAACAATTTTCCATAGATTTTGTGATCGAAAATAGGTCCTCATTTTGATGGACTAGAAATCATAATTTTCTCCGTGGAAAATTGGAAGAGAAAGAGTACAGCAGTTGGAGTCGGTATTCATAATGGTTAGAAGGAAATACGCCCAATGTTGATCAAACAAAGCTCTGATACCACTGATGATTTGATGATAAATAGAAAAGATAGTAACAGGATTAGTAAAGTATGTGATAGAGAAATAGAAGAGAGAAAAACTCAGTAGCTTGTTTCTTCTGTTTCTCTTGAATGTAACTTTGCAATACAGGAGGAGATATTTATAATAGCTAGAGTCGGTAGAAGATGAACCGACTCACATTTGTGGTGCCTCAACATTCATTAGAAAGAGACTCATCTTGGAAAGTGACTTACATCGGAAGATGACTCGACTTTCATTGGAAAGTAATTCACATTGGAAGAAGACTCGACTTACATTAATTTCTTTGCTTCTCAAGGATGACTCGAGAATTCTGATTTAATGTTTCTGAAAATGTGTAGCAGCATTTAATACATTTAAATAACGGTTCTGCTAGCTCTTAAAGCCAACTTTCATGGTTGAGAAGAGGTCCAAGAATATCTTGAACATAAAGTCTATCAACATCAGTCTGATTAGTAATAACAGTAACAATTGATTCATATTCACTATCAAGACCAGCCAAAATAAAGAGAACAAGATCAGAATTGAATACGGTTCTAACACAGTGGAGAGGTTGTCATCGATGGATTTAGCTCATTGAACATAAGCAGATATGGATAGAGAACCCTTCTTGAGATTCTGGAGTTGTCTTCTCAGTTGAAGGATCAGTGGGTGGAGTAGCTTATTGTTAGGGTACCCCAAACATCTACCGAGGTAGAGAGACCCACGACTTTTGCCATGACACCTTTGGAGAGTGAAGAAATCAGCCAACTCAGCACCAACTGATCTAGATTGATGCATTGTTCAAATTCTGGGTTTGGAATAGTTCCATACCGTTTGCATTCTGAATCTCCTTGGGTGGTGGTTGCTTCTTTCCTTCTACTAGATCCATCAAATGGTGATGTCGAAGGATTGGTAGAAACTGGGCTCGCCACAACAAATAGTTGTCGCTGACTAGTTTAATCGGCAAATAATGCATGACATTATGAATCAATGGAGTAGATGAAACTCCGCTTGAGACTGCTGCTCCATCACTGGTCCTGGAGACCGAGTTGTTACTTCCTTGAGGACCGCTCGCCATGAGCTCTGATACCAAGCTAAAGTACTAGAAAAACAAGACAAAAAGCAAACACAAGGAGAAGCTAAAGTAAAAGAAAAACAAGACAAAAAGCAAACACAAGGAATAGAATAGTTCTAGGTTTCGGTGATGATTAGTGTTAGAGTTACACAAAAAGCAAACAAGACAAATATATGTATTTCAGACTTTCAGTAGGATTACAATTCTTGTAGAGAGTTACATGATAGACTTAAATACTATCCAAGAGAAGTTGGATAGATTCAAACTTCTTTTGACTTATCCTCGTCAATCTGAAGTAGGAGTCCTAATAACATATCTTTGTTATCTTTCTTTTCCTTTTTCCTTAGGAGTCCTCATCGATGGCTCTCCTTGTACACCGATTAATTAAATGAATAAAAAAGCTTTACTTTTTCACAGTACCCATCCATTATTGAATAGCTCCAAATCATGGATCTAGATAAATAAAGCATTCTATTATATTTAATTTGGCCAAAGGCCACATTGAGCAAAACAAGCCAAAGACATGCCAGAGTGTCACAATTAAGCTCACCCATGATCTTGATCCCCATCCATCTTAAAGCTTCCAGGTCTTGTTCCTGTGTGGCCTTGGTTAATTTATTTATTGCGATTGATGGCTTACTTGTCCTTTGAACTGAGACAAATGTGGAGAGCAAGATTTTGTTAGATCAGAAAATTTGGAATAGATCCCAACACGATGAACAATAATATAGTTAGAACGGAGGTGTGTTAGGAGACCAGGGGATGGTATACCAGTTAATAATGAATATTCAGCTACTATATATATACACATGCTTGATGATTATGGAGACATGATTTCCTGCTCTCAAGATTCTTCATTTCTCTTCACTTATTGTCCTTTGTGTTTCTATAAATAGATCAAGAAGAGGGTCCTGCTCTCAAGTTTCTCTGAAGAACATCAAATAGGTCTAGCTGTTTAAAGAAAGAAGAAATTAAAAGATGGCCGACACCAGTGACCGCTATCATGTTCGCTCGATTAGCATGCCCTCTCGATCCCATCCTACTGCTCCTGGCATTGAAGAAGAGCAGAGAGGGCTTAGAGCCTTGGAGTCTTTGTCAACAGCGCAAGAATCATCACTGAAGGCAGAGGCAATCTGTGTTGCATTGTTTGGGCAGGTTGAGTTGTATAAATGTGTGGAGAGTTTTCTTCAGACGCCACAAACACAACAGACACTGGCTCACCATCAAGCAGATGGATGGGGGGACGAGTTGATAGAGGGATCGGTCACCTTATTGGATATAGGTAGCTCTGCAAGGGACATCTTGTTTCAAATGAAGGAGAATGTCCAAGATCTTCAATCCTCACTTCGAAGAAGAAATTCTGGGGGGGTGTTGAAAAACAAGGTTAAAACATACTTTTCCCTCAAGAAAAGAGTGAAGAAGGATGTCAACCGTTGCCTCAAAATGTTGAAACGACTGAAAGAGAAGTGTGTAGCCCGTCTTCTCTTAGATCTTGATAATAACTCAGCAATAGTGGTTAAGGTCTTAAGGGAAGTAAACAGTGTCGCAATTTCTATCTTCCGGGCTCTCTTGTCATTCTTGTCCACACCAGTGTCAAAGCCAAAGGTCGGTAGATGGCATTTGGTGTCAAAGCTGATGCACAGAGGAGTAGTAGCTTGTGACAGCCATGAGGAGAGCATGAATGAGGTGGAATCTGTTGATGTTTCACTCTTGGCCCTGTTTCGCTGCAATTCAAGCAAAGATGTTGAGGTTGAGAGTTCACAAATGGCACAGAAAAGGTTGAAGGATCTGGAGGTTAGACTTGAAAGCCTTGAAGAAGGATTGGACTTCTTTTATAGACGTCTGATAGAGACTAGAGTTTCTTTGCTTAACATCCTCACCCACTAGAGATTCTTCAACAGTTTTCACCACCACTCAATCAACACGAGCAACCACATTTTAAGGTTTTGCTTATGACATTATACATGAATTGAAACGTACAGATCAAAATTTTATACATGATGAAGTGGATCACAAATTTATTTACATTCTTGTTATTCTTTGAGATCTAAATTTTGGTTTCTTTTTCCTTTTTTTTTCCCTCTTTGAGATCTAAATGGGGTATATATGTAAGTATTTTTGAAACCTTTACCCGGGTCCGAAAAAGGACACAACACTACACAACCTCTACATTGAGTGCTGCTTTCCCCTCGGTTCTGAGGCTTCACTACAACACCATCATATAGATTTATTAACTTCTTCCCTCTGAATCATCACCACTTATCGAGTCTAGACTTACCTTCTGCTCCTCTTGGGATTGTAGGGAATCCACTCCTATCCATATCCTGACATATCCCATCCCCAACATGACGGGGTCGGGCAAGCCAGGTACCTGATTGGGATGGAGAAAATTGCCATCCCTAAATACATGTTTTGGTGTTTGCATCACAAAATTCACATTCTACAATGTTTGGTATTTAAAAATTTTTCTGCTTTTCAAGAAGAAGCTCTACCATTACAAAAGGATGCAAGCTGGGTTGAGGTATATTCATGATATATTTGAGTCATGAATAATCAGGTCGATTGAAAATGAGCATTTTATCATAAAGAATTTACATCAGCTGACCTTCCTTCTTAAACTACAAAATAATTTCGACTTCAACCCCTAATTAGAATTTTGACTAACTTACAAAATGACAATTCCTGACTGCCAGTAAAGGTATATGCCGGACTTAATTGCACATTCAATCTCACCCATGATCTTGATCCCATTTATCTCAAAGCTTTCGGATCTTGTCTCCTATGTGCCCATTTTGTTATATTGGAAAATTAATGGTATTAGGTCGATTCGCAACTGCAACAATAATAAAGTAGCTGGGAACGGTGGTGTGTTGGGAGACAAGGGGATGGTATACCAGTTAATGAATAAGCTTAAATACTGAGCATATAGAAGTGTCCATCAACACGTACCCACATGAATGAATGAAATAAAATAAGGTTGAAACTTGTGAATTGTAAGCCAAAAATGTGACAACATCATCGAGTATAGGAATAAGCATATTGATATCAGATGCTCATTATATGGATATATGGTAATTCCAAGTCAGAAAGATTCCCCTTGTCTCTCCTCTTATAATCCTTGTATGTGTTTCTATAAATAGTTCAAAGGGTCTAGAGAGAAACATCAATCCTTTCTCCAATCTGAAGATCTTCTCTCTGAAGAACATCTACCCAGTGGATCTGTTGCAGAGAAAGAAATAAAAGATGGCTGATGCTACTGCAATACCCGAAAGTCGTTATCATGTTCGCTCCATTAGCATGCCCTCCCGATCCCATCCTACTGCAACCAACGTTGAAGAAGAGCTTAGCAAGCTTAGAGCCTTAGAGTCATTGTCAACAGCACAATCAGGATCCCCATTGAAGGCAGAGTCGATCAGTGTTGCATTATTGGGCCTTGTTGAGTTGTACAAAAGTGTGGAGAATTTTCTTCAGATGCCCCAAACACAGCAGACCTTGGTCCACCATCAACTGGATGGATGGGTGGATGAGTTGATAGAGGGATCTGTCACATTGCTGGATATAGGCGGCACTACAAAGGACATTTTGTTTCAAATGAAGGAAAATGTCCTTGATCTTCACTCGGCACTTCGCAGAAGAAAATTTGAGGGTTTGTTGGGTAACAAGATTGCAACATGCATTTCCTTCAAGAAAAGGGTGAAGAAGGATGTTAGCAGCTGCCTTAAAATGTTGAAACGTCTGGAAGAGAAGTGTGTAGCCTGTCCTCTCTTAAATCTTGATCATGAATTAACAATGGTGGTTAGGATCTTAAGAGAAGTCAGCAGTGTTGCAATTTCTGTCTTCCGGGCTATTTTGTCATTCTTGTCAACGTCGATGTCAAAGCCAAAGGTGGGTCGATGGGATTTTGTGTCAAAGCTGATGCACAGAGCAGTAGTAGCTTGTGATAGCCATGACGAGACCATGAATGAGGTGGAATCTGTTGATGTTGTACTCTTCTCCTTGTCTCGCTGCAATCCAAGCAAAGATGCCGAGGTTGAGAGTTCACAAATGGCACAGAAAAGGTTGATGGATCTGGAGGTTAGCCTAGAAAGCCTCGAAGAGGGTTTGGACTTCCTGTTTAGGCGCCTGATACAGACCAGAGTTTCTTTGCTCAACATCCTCTCCCACTAAAGATTCTTAACAGTTTTGACCACTGAAACGTAACATGGGCAACCGCATTTTTAGGGTTTGCTTGTGTAATTATATGATACGAGAATTGAAATGTACAAATTAATTACAATTTTTTACATGATCAAGTGGATAATAATTTTATTCACATTCTTCTTTCTGATATTCTTTGAAGTCTAAATTTTGGGTTATTGGCTCTCTTGATCAGTAGGTCTATTGCAATCAATCTAGTCCTTTGGCAAAGACAATGCAAACATTTACCAATAGTCCTACGTATCAGACCTCATTGTGGCCAATTCCTTTCAAAAATAAAAGAAAAAACCCATATCATTTTGGAAAGCGATGCAAAAAGGATGGTAGAATGCAGCACTTAATTTGAACCTAGATCCCCATTGAGAATTCTCAATATCATTAAGGATTGCCATGCTTTACTTCATAATTTTGTCTCCTATGAGCTACATTTATTAATTATACATCTCTCACATGTAATAGGGCTGGTCCAATTTGCTGTTAGGCAAAATAGATCAATGACCTGGTCTACAATTCCTCACTTTCTGGGGTCTTTGATCAGAATGAGATGTAATCAGTTGAACTGATGAAGGAAATTTGCCTTTTTGGATTTTTTTTTTTAAAAAAAAGGAGAATAACAAAATCTACAAATTTCCCTCATTTGTCTCCCGGCACAGCATGGCCATTGCAACTCACTCCTTATTTATTTTTCTTTTAAATGGGCATCCTCTACCATTTAAGGGTGTCAATGGACTGGTTTTAGATTGAACGCCATCCAGTCCAAAATCAATTTGGACGGATTGGATGGACTAACAAGATATATTGGATTGGATCAATCCAGTCTAAAATATTTATTAGACTGGATTGGACCTGGTCCGTCTATAACAAATTAATATTGAATTGGGTTGGATTAAGCCAATATATGGTTTATTGATATAAGATAAGAATATATGTGTCAATGAGCCAGGTTTAGGTTGAAATCCAATCTAAATCAAAATGAATTTAAACAAATTGGACGATCCAGACATTAAATTGGACCTGTCCAAATTGGTCCAAAACATTCATTGGATTAGATTGGACCTGATCCATATATAATGGACTCACATTGGACTGGATCGGATTGGATCAAATCCAGTCCAATTGACACCCCTAGTACCATTGACCATCAATTATAAATTCATAATAGTTGGCAATTGAGGTCTAGAGAGATAAAAAAGACCAAAATATATGTCTAGGTGAGGATCCTTATGGAAGAGTAAATATTTTATATGTATGCACGAGTGGCATGTGGTTCCCTTGTCTCCCTCATATGACTATAAGATAAATGATTATATCTTCATCAAGATTCAATAAAAGAAGGTCACATATATGATCAGTGACTACACGGATCTTGTTTAATTTGGTTGTTCTGAAAACCCATGTCTATATTGTAATGGACAATATTTTTGATAGATTACCAATTACCCTTCCCAAATAACACCCCAGCTCCCTTGCAGAAATAAATTTTTCATTAATACAGAAGATTATAGTATCACATGGGGGCACACATTTATGAAATAACTAAAGGTTTTTGTTGGCTAAAAATGTAACAGCAGAATCACCGAATATAGTGAACAAAGCAATATAATACTAACATCACATGCTCACTATTATCCCAACACCCAAGATTCCCTTTGTCTCTTCTCTCGTTGTCCTTGTATTCATTGCTATAAATTGATCTATCAAAGGGTTTTTAGAGCACCATCGATCCTTACTCTAATCCAAAGAATTTCTCTAAATAAGAACATCGAGGCATTTCATTGCGAAGAAAGAAGAAAACATGGCTGATACACCTGCTATACCAGAGAGTCGTTACCATGTTCGCTTCATTAGCTTGCACTCACAATCCCATCCTAATGCTACCAGAATAGAAGAAGAGCTGACCAGGCTTAGAGCTTGGGAGCTGTTAACATTAACACATAGAATCATCCCCACCAAAAGCAGTGCCATTTTGTGTTGCTTTGTCAGGCCTTCTCAAAGAACCATTCAACCTAAAAGCTTAAACTGTTAAATGAGGTCTTTAAATAGGTTTTATTCTCTAACATGCCCCCTCACACGAGGGCCATTGAACTTGAAGTGTGGATAGCAGAGACCCACGCCCACCCATACCTTATGCTGAAAGTTAATTAATTATAATGGGAGTGACAAGAATTGAACACTAAACCACTTGGTCAAGTGGCTTTGGTAACATCTCAGAGAACCATTCAACTTAAAAGCTTAAATTGTTAAGTGAGGTCTTTGAATAGCTTGATATTCTCTAATAAGCCTTTCCAACTTGTACAAATGCATCGAGGATCTTCTACAGATGTCACAGACTCATCAGGCCCTGGTCCAAGATCAACGTGGGACATGGGTGGATGAAGTGTTAGATGGAACAGTCACACTGCTAGACATGGGGGAAACTGCAAGAGACATCATGTTACAGATGAAGGAAAATGTGAAAGATCTTCAGTCAGCTCTTCCTAGAAGAAATTTTGAAGAGGGCGTGTTGAGGTAACAAGGTTGCCTCATATACTTAGTTCAAGATGACGATGAAAATGGATGTTAGTCACTGCCTCAAAATGCTTAAACGACTGGATGAGAATTTTGTAGTCTGTCGCCTCATGGATCTTGACCATCACTCAACCATGGTGGTTAGGTTCATAAGAGAAGTTAGAAATGTTTCAATTTCTATTTTCCATGCTCTCTAGCTTGTCATTCATGTCCACACCGATGTCAAAGCCAAAGGTCAGTAGATGGCAATTGGTATCAAAGTTGATGAAAAGGGGAGTAGTAAGTTGCGAAAGCGAAGAGGAGAAGATGAATGAAGTGGCATCAGTTGATGTTGCAATCTTTACTTTGTGCCACTACAGCAGCAAAGATGCGCTGAGGTCGAGCTGTTGCAAATATCACAAAGAAGGTTGAATAATCTGGAGGTCAGCATTGGAAAACTTGAAGAAGGATTAGACTGCTTGTTTAGAGTCCTAATCAAGAGCAGAGTTTCCCTGCTTAACATCCTCACCCATTAGAGATTTCTTCAACAGGTTTTGATCACTCAAACCAAACATGGGCATCCGCATTTTAGAGGATCTTATTATGTTAGCTATTGAAGAAAATGTAAATTATTTCAGTTATATACTTTCTGAAATGGATAATGAAATAGTTAAACATTTTTGCTTTTACTTTTTATCTAAATTTTGTCATATTGATTATCTTGAGCAAAAAGTTTGTTAAGATTACAATGTGCAAAAGCTTATCACCAAAGCAAATCTCCCTTAATAGACCTCTATTTGATGGATAGCTAATTCATTTAAATTCATTTCTTTAACTTGGTAAAAGCATTGCAGTTGTCTTGCCATTAAGGGTGTCAATGGACCGATTTTGGATTGAACTCCATCCAGGCAAAAATCAATTTGGACGGACCCACAAAGCATTGAATTGGACCAATTCAGTCCAAAATATTTATTAGATTGGATTGGACCTGGTCTGTTCATAATAAATTTATATTGGATTGGGTTGGATTAAACTAATATATAATCCATTGATATAAGATAAGAATATAGGTGTCAATCGATCAGGTCTGGGTTGAAACCAATCTAAATCAAAACGAAGTTGAACAGATTGGATGGTCCAGACATTAAATTGGACCGGACCAAAATATTCATTGAATTGAATTGGACCTGGTCCATTTACAATGCACTCACATTGGACTGGATCGGATTGGACCAAATCCAGTCCAATTGACACCCATACTTGCCAACAAACGATTTGAGCATTTTTGCCCAATTAGTGGTAAAAGTGGCATCATAGTGACGTTTAGAATGAATAAAAACTAGTAATATTTAATATCACATGGTCGGAATAATGCCAATGCAATTTATAGCTTGATTAAGGATTGATTATTCAAATTGGCCACTCTTGTATTTTCTAGGATCATTTACTAGAATACTCCCTATAGTTTCATAGATTTATTTAAACCTACCCTAGAGTTTGCATTTTACTAAAACACCCCCTCATATTTTGCAAGCTATCTACATAACCAACCTTTCATTAAAAGCTATTTTTGTTTGTCATATGAAAATAGCAACATGGCTGTTTATTCCAAAATAACCCCCAGACTGAGTGGAAAATGTTCAAGAGTATGGATCCATGGTTGTTTATTCCAAAAGTACCCCAACACTTTTTCTGTATATAGAAAACAAAATTGAACAAGTAGAGAAAATTAGAGTGGTTGTCCATGTTTTACGAGGGCCAGAAATGGCATTTTTGTTTTTAGTTTCTTTTGATTAAATTTATTTGAATGGATGTTAGTGTTAAAACTGATATTTTCCACTTTCATCTAATGGAAGGTCTATTAAGCAAATTGATTGCTAACTACAGGCCTAAGGATGTTTTAATTAGTAAAAACCAAACTGTAGGGTAGGTTTTAGTAAATTCATGAAACTATATGAGGTGTTTTAGTAACTGGCCCCGTTTTATATGTATTTGTATCATACATATTTGTATTTGTACTCTTTCCAAGCCAAGCATAAGTGACAGAACAATATAATATCAAATGGTTGATTTGATTCTTGTCAAGAGCTTCTAACCCTAATATCTTGAAAGGGAGACAATAGATGTCCACCTTGTCTTAACTTCCTGAGGCTTGAGTTTGAACTTGAGCTCAATATTCAAGTTAGAGACTTGATGAGCTCAAATTCAGTTCAACTTGAAAACTCATATGTCCAAGCTCAACTCGACAAAAATACATGAGGCTCGAGTTCAAACTTATGCTCAATTTGAGCTAGAGATCTGACAAGCTCAAATTCAACTTGACTCAAAAGCTTATATGTTCGAGTTAATCTTGACTATGAGTTCAACAATGGCAAGCTTCAAATAAAAAATAAAACAAGCTTACATGTAAATATATATATATATATATATTATATATATATATATAATTATTTCCTTTTATACATATAGAAATTAAAAATTATACATAAAAAATTAAAAATTTTACATATATATATATAAGAGAGAGAGAGAGAGAAACAGAAAGATAGTCCATTAGGTTCTGTTTGATTGCAGTGCAATTTTATTTGCACTAGTACAAATGCATGGGAATGCAAATGAAAAAAAATACAAATTCTCATTTAATTTTACTTTGGGTTTTACTTTATTCTGTTTCATGTCTTAATTTACTTCCTTTGTACTATAATTAAACAAGAACTAAACTTTGAAACAAAAATAGGTCAGAATTTACATTCAAATCATTTGTACTGTCATAATTTTGCATCAATACAAATTTATTTGCATTACAACCAAACACAGCCTTAGTAAAAATTGCAAAAGTGCACATTCTCATAACATAGCACTGTGCAGCTAAAAGCATCAATAATGAAAATTGTCGCAACAGCATACAACGCTAAAGAACATCGCTAATTAAGAGCCAATATGACTCCTCAAGTCCTCATATTATTAACTTACCTGAATCAAGATATCAGGCTGTGTTATATGTTTGGCTTGTTTTAAATCAATGGAGACAAGCTCACAACAAGCCAATCGTGCATACAAATACAATAAATGCTAATTTTGTCGGTTACAATAAATGCTAATTTTGTTTGGTTCCTGGGAATAGGGGTCTGGAATTGGAATTTGAATGGGCTATTTTGATTCCAACTGTTTGATTAGGCAGAATCGGAATCTTATTCCCATTTTTATTGGAATGGCATTCCCCCAATTTGAGGGAATGGCCATTTCCTGCCCCTCCCTTGAGAATGAAATCTCATTCCTGTTGATTTTAAATCCCATTCCCATTCTTGTCTGAACCAAACAGATTATGAGAATGGACCATTCCGATTCTGATTCTGGAGGATTTGAATTTCAATTCCGATTGTAAACCAAACCGACTCTCAATCTTTATACCTAAACCAAGTTATGTTAATTAAATTCTTAGTATTGTTAGTTATTTAGATGGTTCAGGTTAGAAGACAACTCGAATATATAGACAGCAATGACGGAGTTATTACAGAAGATAATGTAAGATCTACAGAACTATTTTTGTTAATTTGTATTGGATGTTGATATGATGCAATGAGTGTAGAAAGAGTTCAAGACTTAATAATGAGCACACATAGAAATTAATAAGCATCACATCAGTGCACATTCATGAAATAAATAAAGCGTGAGATTTGTAAGCCAAAAATGTGAGCATCATCGAGTAGAGAGAATAACCAATAAACTATCAACATCACATGCGCATTATTTGCATAGACAACGCCCAAGATTCTTATTGTCTCTCCTCTCTCATTGTCCTTATATTTGTTGCTATAAATTGATCAATCAAAGGGTTTGTGGAGCACCATTCTTCGCAATCCAAAGAGTACTCTTCCCTAAACAACATCTATGCAAAGAAAGAAAGAAAAGATGTCTGATAAACCTGCCATTCAAGAGGGTCGTTGCCATGTCCGCTCCATTAGTTTGCCTTCCCGATCCCATCCTAATACTATCAGAATCGAAGAAGAGTTAAGCAGGATTAGAGCTTGGGAGCAGTCAACATTAAAATCAGATTTAGCCCATCCAAAGGCAGAGTCAATTTGTGCTGCTTTCTTGGGCCTTGCCGACTTGTACAAATGCATTGACGAGCTTCTTCAGATGCCACAGACTCAACAGGGTCTGATCCAAGATCAATATCAGACATGGGTGGATGAGGTTTTAGACAGATCCGTCACTTTGCTGGATATAGGCAGCACCTCAAGGGACATCTTGTTGCAGATGAAAGAAAATGTAAAAGATCTTCAGTCAGCTCTCCGCAGAAGAAAATCTGAGGAGAGGGTATTGGGTGAGAAGGTTGCCTCATACACATCCTTCAAGAAGAACATGAAGAAGAAGGATGTTAACCAATGCCTTAAAATGCTGAAACGCCTGGATGAGAAATGTGTAGCCTCTCCGCTCTTGGATCATGACCATCACTCGGCGAAAGTGGTAAGGTTGATAAGAGAAGTCAGCACTGTTTCGATTTCTATTTTCCAGGCTCTCTTGTCGTTCATGTCCACACCGATGTCGAAGCCAAAGGTCAGTAGATGGCAATTGGTATCAAAGCTAATGCAAAGGAGAGTAGTAACTTGTGACAATCAAGAGGAGAAGATGAATGAGGTGACATCTGTTGATGATGCACTCTTCGCCCTGTGTCGCAACACTTCAAGCAAAGATGTAGAGGTCGAGCTGTTGGAAATGACGCAGAAAAGGTTGAATCATCTGGAGGTCGGCCTTGAAAGACTTGAAGAAGGATTAGACTGCTTGTTTAGATGCCTCATCCAGAGCAGAGTTTCGCTGCTTAACGCCCTCACTCGCTAGAGATTTCTCCAAGTTTTGATCACCCAAACCCAACATGGGCATCCGCATTTTAGAGGATGTGCTTATGTCAGTTATATCATTCATGAAAAAAAATGTATAAATTGTAATTATATACATTCTGAAATGGATAATGAAATCATAAACATTTTCCTCGGTACTTTCTATCCAAGTTTTCTCATAATGGTTATCTTGAGCAAAAAAGTTTATCAGGATTACGCCAGTGTTCTTACAAAATGTAATATTTAGGTCCTGTTTGTTTTTCGGTAAGTTATTTATCCAGGTAAATGCACTTATCCGGTATGTGTTTCCCTGGAAAGACTTATTCGGGTAAGTACATTTACCCATGTTCTTTTATTTTCCATGTAAATGAGGCAATGGCCATTTTAGCCATAAAAGTCCATTATTAAAAGGAGCATTTTTGTATTCAAGCATTGGCAACTTTCCTCCCCAAGTGGGAAAGTTATTTACCCACGTATTAAAATAAACTTTCTTTGGTTCCTGATGGTGCGCGATCTTGGCACTCCTAACTGGCAGAGGCTGCACTTCTAGCTGGCGTTGGATGAGGTACCAGCGAAGAAGAAGGTGAAGGATTCCCGGGGAGCTTGCCCAGCGGGAACACTCCGATGCTTAAGTTAGAACTCGGTGGAGAACTAAGAGAGTTGCAAAGAAATAAGGGCTAAGAGTGAAGATAAGCAATTGCAATTACCTTTTCCCTTGGGGGTTGGAGCCCTTATATATTAATGCCCTGTCAAATCAGGTGTAACTGCCTCTGATTCTCTGCCGCAGTCGTTATTTGCCAGGGCTGAGCAGGTGGGCGTAGGTAACCGTCACAGGGTACGGACCTGCCAGTCGAGATACGTTTTATGAAGTTGGCAGTCACAACGCCGCCTGATGAGAGACGTGGGTGCAGGCCTCTGGATTGGTAGGTGTTGCGTCGTTAGACAAGGGACATGGGAGCAGTCTAATGGGCACGGTCTTGTCAGATAAGAAGCTTCCTAAAACCCTCAGATTGCTCAATAGCGAGCTACTTTGTAGTGAGTTGCCTGGTAGCGAGCTGCCTTGTAGCGAGCTGTTAGGCTGGGTTTTAGTGAGCTCGTTACGCCGAGTTGTAGCCAGGCTGTCATGCTGAGCTGTCACTTACGTTGAGTCATGTCCACGTGTCGCCTAGTCAGGCGATCGGGTCAAATTACCCTCCATCAATTGCCCCCCACTCCTTAGGCTAAGGGTCTTGCTCTAGCACGGGAAGTTCACGAAGTGACGGGTGGATTTGACCCGTAAGTCAAACTACCTTGACCGACCGCGTGAGGTATACGTGCGGATGTCACGCGACTTATAGATTTTGTTGGCGCCAAAAAATGCACTAAACTGTCTTCGGTCTTGGAGGACGTGCTACCGGATTTATTATGAGCCATTAGATTAGCCTTAATCGAGACCATTGGTTTTTTGGCACAGTGGCTATAAATAGGAGGGCCCCAAGCCTCATTTGTTTTTACGCCAACTTGCCTTGCTTTCGATTTTAAGGTCGCGCCTTCGCCTTGATTGCTCGAGCTCTCCCCGTTCGCGTCGCTTTTTTTAGTTCACTCTTTCCGGTGAGTCCTCTACCTTGCCAAACAATGTCTGGGTATCCGTACGACGGTGTATTTTCCCGGGATAGTAATCAGGATGAGGCCCCCTCGAGCTCGGGGGGAGCTTGGGGGTTCCCTGAGGGGCAAGCTCCGGAGGCTCTGGAAGCCTGTGGTAACTTGGCTTCCACTTCCCAGAGTCCGAAGCCTGTGGTAACTTGGGGGTTCCCTGGTCTTCTAGTACGATCTCCCTAGGGAGCTCACTTATAGCCTCCCAACCAACAACTATCCCTGGGAGCACAATCATTACAAGATCATGGTCTTTGAGGAGCAGCTCGTGGCTGGTCTTTGACTCCCTCTGCATCCTTTAATAGTGGAGGTCCTCACCCATTTCAACGTCATCATAGACCAATTGCACCCGAACTCTGTTCGGAACATGGTGGGGATTATTTCTTTGTTTTTTGAGTACTATCTTCCTCTATCCCTCGACACTTTTGCTTCCATTCTGTCGATCAAGAATGCCTCCCCCGGAGCCCCTTTAGATAGGCGCTCTTATTACTTTTCCCCCCATCCAGACTTCAAGCTTCTCCACGAGTTTCCTAACAGGATTCCGCCCTGGAAGCGGGGTTATTATATAGTTCGGAACCCCGAAGGGTGGCCCTTTTTGACCCACTTGAGGGCCGCCATTCAGGATCGGGGCGTTAGCTTGGACCCAAAGGTTCGGAAAATGCTACAGTCCTGGGCAGAGGTCGGCATCCTTGGTTCAGGTTACTTGGCTGAGGACAAGCTCGTATAGACCGGCCTGAGCCCCGGTAGGTCACCTTTAGATCTTTCTCCCCCCCCTTTTCTTTTGCGTTGGGCTAATGCATTTTATTTATTGCAGCCAAAATGTCAGGTGTGGATGCACGTCATCTCTTATCAAGCTCCCAGAAGCGCAGGGCAAAGAGGTCTCGCCTGGACCGGGCATCTACTTCTAGGGCCGTCGAGTTCGAGGCCGCGGACCCGTCTTTTGTTCCGTCGTCAGAGATCCCACCCACGTCATACGAGGGAGTAGTCGCGGAAGGCGGTGAAGAAGAAGAGGTCCCACCTCCGGGGCAATACCCTCCGGCCG